CCTGGTCGCTCAGGGGGCCCGACTCGGCCGCCACGTCTTCGAGAGCAAGCTTGGGGGGCTCCCAGCCCTCGATCTCATCCGGCTTCTTGGACTGTGTGTTCGGCTTTAAGACGAGATTGTCCCAAAACCCAGACTTCTTCTCCGTCTTCAGCTCTTCCTTCAACCGTAAGCTGGTTCTGTGGGAGACAAAGGAGTTGGGTTGGGGTGATGCAGGGGCCTCAGATTCTGTCCATTTTGTAAATAAAGGTTCCTTTTCTAGAACCATCTAAGGTGTGTGGGACGCTAACGCCAATCGATGTGTAAAACTTGAAACAGCAAAGTCAACGAGGGAGACTTCGTCCCCACGTGTTGCTGCTGACACTGGTGAGGCCGCCTCTCAGACCCACACGTGGACGTGCACACAGGGCCGTTCTCCGAAGACACGACTGGTGCTCACGTGCCTGCCAGTCGGCAGGACGGACCCAGGGCCCAGGGCCCAATACGGGGAGGATTCCTTTTATCCCCCGGGGTCCCCAGGGACCCAGCCAGCACACGGGGCCCCGGGAGATGAGGCCAAGGGGACCGACACGCGGGCCCCGCCTCCCGGGGAAGCAGGTGGTCACGGCGACACCTGCCCGTGAAGCGAAGCAAGGCAGCTCTGGGTCGCGGCTCTGGTGCCAGGGGAGGTGGGCCCTGGTCTGCAGCTTCCACGCTCCTCCGCCTGCGGCTCCGCTGCCCGCGGCCTTCCCGCAGCCCCGGCTTCTCCTCCCCAGACATCAGGGAGCCCTGCGCACCTTCCTCACTAGGGGAGGGGCCTGAGGTGTCACCTGACTGGCCCTGCTCTCCCCACGTGACAGGGAGGGAGGGGCTGCAGGGCCGCGATGAGGGGGGCCCACGGGGGCCTGGCCTGGCCTGTGGCCCGCGTCCCCCCCCGCAGGGACTTACCCCCTGGACTTGGGAGATTTGCATCTTCCCAGCAGGTGCTCCTCGTCGTCGTCATTAAACAGCGAAGTCACTTCCTTCCAACCTCGGAAACCTGCTCCCTGCACCAACAAAGGTCAGGAGAGGTCAGGTCCGGCAGCAGCACACAGATCGGGTTTTGTAACAAGCTGTGGAGCTGGGCCCCATCCCCTGGGGTCTCGGCTCCTCCTCCCTCAGCGGCAGATGACCTTTGCCATCCTGCTGTGAGGACAGTCACTGCCCATCCTCGTCCTGCCCCCACCCAGGTGGGGCGGCTGAGCTGTGACCCCAGGATGGTTCCCTGGAGGTCAGAGGCCCTGCCAACCCCACGGGAGGCTGCAGAGGGAAGGCCTGGTGTTCATCCTGGGATGCCTCGTTTCTGCCGTCGGGGTGAGTCCTGTGCCAACCCAGCCTCTCGGACCCAGAGGCAGGCGCTGTCAGAGCAGGGCCGGGAAGGGGAGAGACTCCGTGAGTCCGTCAGGTGCCTCCTGCAGGAGCCCGTTCCATCCCCACAGTCCCGGCCACTCTGTGGGTGGCTCTCTCTCTATCAGGGGATGGGAAGGGAGGGGGGCAGACCTCGCTTTACAGAACTCTGAGATGTTCCTGTTGCAACATGAAAGGAAAGGGAACGAGGGCTGTGTGTCAGGCTCCTGAGGTCACCCCAGGCCACTCAGGGCCAGGGAGCGAGAGCTCAACATCGTCCCCAAAAGCTCACCCGGAGGCCACCCCTGGGGCCAGGCTCGCGAAAGTGGGTCCCAGAAGGACGAGGACCTGGCAGATGGTGTGTGACCACCTGACAGCCCCGTCCTGCCCCTGCAGAGCCAGGCAGGAGTGTGTGCCAGTCCCATGCCCCGAGCCCCGTGAGGGCCCACCCACCCTCGGTCTGAGCAGCCCCGGGGGCCACGCCGACCGCCACCAGCAGCCGAAGCCGTGTTTACACACTCGAGCCTGTGACAAAGCCCCGCCTGTGTCCCGGCTGCCGGAGCCCCGGCTCCAGACAACGATCCAAACACAGACTCTACCCGAGAGCAGCCACGGGACACTGAGGGCGACACATGGAAACAGGACACCGAGGGCCTGAGAAGCAGGCCCGGCCGCAGAGGACGAGGGGCCGCGGTGCCCGGCTCTAGGCGGTCCCTGTGCCCTCACCCTCCCACCCAGATCCCGCGTAACATCAGCGCGTAACACAAGCGGCTTACGCTTGTACAGATCCAAGTATTTAGGTTCACAGGCCAGGAGTTAAGTTAAAGCTTTAGGTCAGGCCAACCGGTGTTATTGGGGAAACTTGTTCCACCGAAGACGCCTGTGGCGCTCACGTGGGGCTTGGTCTCCGTTGGGGGTGAGAGGTGCCGCCCCGTGTGTGCTGGGCCCATGAGAACTACGTGGCCCCGTCCGCAGTCACTGCAGGGTCATGCGCTTCCTTGCGTGGCTGACAGACAGGTGAGCGTGTGGAACCCGACACGTGAAGCCGGGGGCCACGTCTGCCTCCGGTTGCTAAGGAAGTAGCCGCTGGATGGAGCCCCACATCCTCGCTGGGCGGCCGGCGGGAGTGCCGCGCCAGCAGGTGGCTTTTCAGGAGACGGCCCGTCTCTGCCTGAAGCAGCCCTGCCCCCTGCTGCTGTGCATCCAGGTCCCCGGGCCTCGGAGACGAGCCGCCACCAGAGCACAGACCCTGCCTCCCTGTCACCCATCCCGCCGGGCTCCCCGGCCCCACGCGATCTCCCCTCCTGCCCTCCCGACCCAAAAGCACGAGAGGAGTGAGAACGGCTCTTCTCCGGACCATTTCAGCTCTTGCTCCGAGCATGTCGCCAGCTTGGCTCAAAAATACCCCTTGAACCCTCCACAATGACGGCCGCGTGCTATGCCCCTACGCCGGCACCTGGGGCTCCAGAGGGGAGGGGACCGAGACCCTCAACAAAGGCACCGCCTGTGCCCTCAGGGGACGTGGTGACGAGGACCGTGCCCAGGCCCTGGGGATGGGGTTCTCGCAGGCAGAGGAGGAGCTGTGAGGCAGGGCTGGCGAGGCTTCCGGGC